TTTCTGGGGGGTTGAAACTGCAGTTAGGTTCGGTATTTATTCTTGGTTTACTGATTTGGAGCTTCAGCCTAAGTGCCACCATTTGGGGCCTGTAGATTTCTTTTCAACAGATGTGAAGAAAAAAGAGGGATAATCCCCAAAACAGTAACTGTTTGCCTTGATATATATTCCCCTCTAGTACACCTGCAGGTAGCATTTCAGTATTGTTTTTGTGAGAGATAAAGTGTTGGGTGAACTAGGCAAAAACAGACAAGGGATTTGTTCTCATTTTATTAATTAAAAAGTAGAGCCATAATCAGAAAGTTACACAATTACCCAGGTAGTTTCCATGTAACTGTGATAGAATTTCATAGTGGTCTGTAGAAAAATATTTTATGTAAAGTAGAACTACAAAATCCTAGGGCCTTAGAAACCATTTAAGCTGCTGTGTTTTTAAAAACAGTTTGTTGTATAAAATGCTTACTATAAAGTAAATGACAAAAGAGAAAAACATTTCTAGTCTTGAGAATTGCACATTATGAAGTCGGTAACACAACTTTATTTTGCATGATATTTACAGTAATTCGCTTATCCAACTCACTAAAAGTAGTGTGCCAGGAAGAAATTATGGAATACTGAGTCTGGAAACATGAGGTCCTTTATACTGAAATGTTTTTTATAGTATTACGTATGACATAAATATTGTTTTCTATCATTTATAGTTCAGTTCCTATATTCCACTGTGTCAAGACTTCCCATAGCCATCATGCTTTTAAGACTCTGTCTATTCTCTTAACTATCCTTTATTACTTTATCCTTATACTTTATATTTAATAATTACTTTATTTCCCTTGCTTGTCTTCTTTTCATTTTTCATGGAACATATATCATGTGTGTCCTTGGTGGGACGGCGAGTGGCCTTTGGCACTCTTTCATATCTGAAATGCTTTGCCCTAACAGCCCTTACCAGTTCTGCATTATTGTATTTTCTGAACATATCCCTGCCCAGTTCTGCTGTTTGCACATTGCTTTGAGGGTTGTAGGAGAAGGGTGCAATGGAAATGGACAGATGTTCATCTACTGTGACAGTCTGATGCTCTAATATATGCAAAATAAACTCAGTGTGTCATTTAAAGATGCGCCATAAAACTGCACACCATATTAGAGTCTGCTGTACTTTTAAGTAAAGCCATCCAGTAGTCCCCCTGCATAGATTTTATTAGGTACAATGTTAGCAAAGTAGGAGAAAGATTCCCTAGGGTCTCTGTTGTCCTAATTCATGTTTCAGAAAAATCATCCCATAGGGACCATGTACCATATTTTCACGAGTAAAATTGGTTGTCCCATTTTTCATCTTGTTAGTCTAGTTGGCCTTTGGAAGGTATCTCCACCCTACATTATTCTCCTTTGTAACTTTATCAAGGCAGTTTCATTATTCTGCCTCTCTTATTATTTTAGAAAGAAAAAAGCTAAATCCCAGTATGCTCAAATGCTTCCTGTTACAGTCATCATTAGGAAGTTTTATTCAAAATGGCTGGTAATAGGATGATCTGATTATGCCAGTAACCTGGTTAGCAAACTAGGTGAGTTACAGGCCATCAATTTTCAGAGAATTTTTGTTATCTCTTTGGATTAATATTAAAACTAGACTGAATATTCTTTAATGATTAAGAAAGTATTTCAGAGTTTATGGTGAATTCATTCATGCACCAAATACTTACTGAGGCCTTTACTAAGTGCCAGTCACTGTTCGGTTTGCTGGGCCCCCAGATAACAGTGAATTAAGCAGATATGGTCTTTTGCCTTCATGGAGGTTATTATTCTAACCTGTGGTCCATGAGGAATACCATGGATTCAAGAGGTGTAAGAACAAGATAGCTAAATATTTAAATGAGTAGTTTGTTTTCAAAAGTAAACTCTTGGTTTTAGCCTGTTAATTCATCATTTTCATCTTCACAATGAAAGTTGAATGCTAAAAATTTTCTGTTTGTTGGCGCTTTCTGGTTTATGTGGAGTTAATAAATTGCATAACCCTACTTATAAACAGAGTGAATGTTAGGTTAAAAACCAGAATGAACTATTTTTCAGATCACATTTTAAAAGTGAATATAATTAGAATAATCCTCATAAGACACATAATCTCTGGGGGAAATATAATTTGTAACCATGTAATATTGATGTTGCTATAGCATCTTTTGATAATATAGCAATTGATAATCTGATTGCTATAATTCAAATTATATAGATTTGAATTCCCATGCTTTTAAGTTTAATGGTAGTCAAGATATACATATACATACACATTCATGCCACCCTTTGGTCAGTACAGATGGGCTCCACTCCCAGATCTAATCGGGCCTACACTGACTAGAGAGGACCATTCTGACTCGGTCTAGCTTCTGATGTCACTAGCTTTCAAGTTTTCACTTTATCTTGTGGAGTTTTGCATAAATATTCGGTGGCAGTGTTGTTGTTTTTTTTTTTTTAAATAAAGGAAATAGGAAGATTGCTTTAACTCTGCCCATAGTTTCAGCAGCTGCAGACACATCTTTAATGCAGCAAATGGGAGGGGCTGCAGAGGCTTCCTTGCATGCATGAGAACAAACATATGTTCTTCCTGGGACACCCCATGGAAGGAGCAAACTGTAGTCATCGAGAGGACATGGGCTTCTGTCTCTGCTTTCCTACCTATTAACAGGTCAGTTTACCTCTTTGGTAAAGGGACAGTACCTGCTTTGACACCCTTTTGGGGTTGATAATGAAGGTCAAATGATGTATTGGGACTTGAAAGTGCTTTGAAAGAAAAATTATGCAGGTAGGTGGTAGCTTTCATCTCTTTCTTGTGTTACAAATAGGAATAACTAAAGAGTATATTCCCTGGAACATAGCATCATATGGAAGCTTCAGAGGAGTGGTTCCCTCTCTAAGAAGCCACTTTATCTTCACTCTGAGAATGCTCAGAGCGGCAGCGGTATGCCTCAGATTGTGTCCATCTGGTGTTAGCATCATTAATCATCACCTTTGAGCCAATAATCTGGTTTTGTTTTTTAATAAAGGAAATCTCTTTTGGATCATACTATTTTTAGTCTATTACCTTGAACTTGTATTCAATGGATTTATAGAACATGTAAGTGTATCTGAACGAATGTGCTGTACACAAGTCTTGATTAGTTCTTCATATTATTTTAGCACTTTGGAATAGTGGCAAATCTTGGTTCACATTGAAAATTAGAATTTTTATACATGTGGTTCTTAGTATATGTGAATAATTTTGGAGTTTACAGTATATTTTAGGCATATAGAAGTACTTCAGTAGAAGTATCGTGTCGTTGTTAACTGGGTGGTTGTTAAAGTAATGAAAATTATTTATGCCCAGACTCTTCTACTCAAGAACCAACTTTGAGCTTTGGTACACTGAAGACTCAACCTAAACCTCCCAACAAAGAAAGGCCGGCAACTCTGACTGGCCCCAGCAGGTGGTGCTGCTGGTCACACTCGTCCCTTCAATCCCCAGCATCACAAAACGTTCCACTGTCTGGTTCGTGTGTCTGTGCTTAGTTTTGAATTATCTTAAGAATATGAATAACCTCATCATTTCTGATAAGCGCAAAAGCAGTGAGAGTATCGAAATGCTGGTGTCAGGGAGGAAGAATTTCCTCTGCCTTTCAAGGTCCTTCTGGCCAGACTAAGAATCAGATTGACATGAGACAGATTAACAGGAGAAAATCAAATTTAATTTCATTTGTATGGGAACGCCACACAGACCTGGAAATTCCAAAGAGAGTCAAGCAAAAGGAGGTATATATATCATCCTGAACTAAGGAGAAAGAGGCTAAGGGCCTGGGACTTAAAGGGAATGAATGTAATTCACAGGAAGATGAAGAGGAGTAAATGTTTGGTGAACAAATGTTTGCCTGGTCACTCAGAAAGAATGGGACATAGAGGACTTTGATCAGACAGGCCTTGCCATATCTGGCTCGTAGTCTAATGTAGTTATCTATAGCATAGTTCTCTTCCTGGAGCAGGTCCTTTATCTAAATTCTTTTAGGCAGTTGAGGTGGGGAGGTAAAGAAATTTTCCTGAATGTGCTGTGTTTTGATTGCTTTTAGTTAAAAAACAATGTGCATGCCGAAGTGGTCCATCTTGGGGTAGTTTGCCTTTGGTGATAGATGGATGATGGGAAAAAATTAAGATAATAAAGCAAAAAGCAAGTGTTGAAAAAACAGTGTTGTATGTGTATATAAGATGAATCATTCAGTTGAACAAATAATTCTAAGGGACAAAGAATAACTCACACAGTATGCTTAAGGGTATTATACCCGTAACAGTAATTGGCAAGTGATGGGGCGAAAAATATTTGACAAAGTAGAATATATGTTAAAAGAGACATGTCAGATGCCTGTTAGCCTGATGCTAATTAGGAAACAATTGAGAGTTTGTTGGAGAGCTTAAAGGCTGAGCATGGTGGAGGTGCCACTGACAAATCCTGGGTCCAAAGCTGTGCTGGCTGCATTGGTCCAGGTCCTGTGACAAACCAGTGGGGAGGTCAGGGGTGTAGATACCGAAGCTGGAACCTTATCTACTGCGCATGAGGAGGCAAGGGAGGGTGGTTACCTGCCTCCTAATTTTTAACATAGAGAAACGATCCTTTTTGCAAAATGATGCCCCACAGATCTTACCGCATTGAAGAAAGGGAGAGTGAGCCTGTTTTTAAAACTCACATTCCTTATGGTAGACATTTATTTAGAGACTGCAAGCCCAAACCCTTCAAAATTGCCGTGGACTTTTGAGCAGACATATACAAAACCTGCTGGAACAGTCCTAACTTGTTCATAAATAAGAACTGGTTACTGTGCTATTTTGGATGCAAAGAAGTTATGTATTCTTTTATAATATTAAAATAAAAAATAAGACATAATATTGTAGGTAGGTAGTAATTTTGAAACCTATAGGATTCATTTTTTGCCAAGTAATAGGCATAAAGAAACTTTTGACCTAGAACTTATTTCCTGTCGTTACAGTGTCAACATAGTGGAAAAACTATAAACTCTGGCACAAGTCAGCTGTGTGATGCCAGCAAGATACACAACTCCTCTGCGACTCAGTTTCTTCCTCTGATAATTGGGCATTGTGTTGCCCATCCATTAGAGGTGTTGTGAGTAATAAAAATAAGACTGACTAAGTCACCGTGCCTGGTTGTAATGGTCCTTCCATGACTAGCCGCCAGTGGAATTAGCCCAAATAGCACTCCCTATGATTAGTAAAAAAAAATCCCAGCAGAAGGCTTGAAGAGTGCCACCAGCAACTGCCATGACCAGTTTTATCAACTAACATAAATGAAACTTTTGTAACAAACAGACCAAAATTCAATGGTCAAAACATAACAGAAGTTTCATCTTTCTTAAAACATCCAGGATGGGTTCTGATTCAGGAGGGCCCAGGTCCACCCAGTCAGTTAGGGACTCGGGCTTTTGATGGTTCTCCAGTTTTTAGCAGTAAGCATAGGAAGGGGGAAGTGGCCTAGAGGCATGTGGGAAAGAGACTTTAAGGACTAGAATAGAAGTGGCAGATACGAGTTATCACCTGCGTTATAGTGGAGATGGCTTATTCCCACGGGCGCACCTAACTGCTAGGGCAGCTGGGAAATGCAGTATAGCTACTGTTAAGAAGGGGGCAAAATTGAGTAGCCACACTGGTTTATTACACGGCTTAGTAATGACCCCAAAGTATCCCCTGTGCTCCACACTGAATTTTGGTACCAACATTTTTCTGAAAATTTACTGACAATTTCTGATCAATATCAAAATTGTGAATCCTCAGGCGCAAGACACATAAATCCTGGTAATATGGGCTGCAGGTTGGCTCTATTAAGCTGTAAAGGATGTGTGGCTTTTCATGTTGGGACTTGGTCCAGACTCTGCATTCAGGCCAGGGACCCGGTGACAGGGGCCTGAGTAACTGACCTGGTCTAAAGAGGCACTCAGTGTGATAATGCCAGCTCAGTCACGATGCCTGAGCAATTGACATGTGGCAGGCAGGAGTGGCACCAGGGAATCCAGGCAATGGATCCGGGAACCCCATTGGCAGGAGTTGCCTCCTGGGAAATCTGTCTGGAATGGCATAAACCCAGACACTGGGCTGGGTAACAGGGGTGGGCGAGGTGGGAAGGGAATGTGATCAGGCAGGGAAAGTGGGCAGGGCTCCCAGGCATGGAACTGATCCATTCCTGCTTCTGCTCCTACCTAGAGAGAGAGCAAGGCACATGCAGTTAAATGGCAGAGACTAAGCATTTTTCTGGTCTAACCAAAAACAGGGGGTGAGGTAGAGCAGGGATTAAGAGAAGAAGAGAATTTAAATTAAGGAATAATGGTGATGTCTAGAAGCCATTCAGGGGCCCTGGGGCCAGCTGGGAACAAAATACAGAAACTCACTTGTCATGAGTAAACCACCAGCTCCAGGATCTTGAGCCATAATTCATTTCTATGCCCTACTGAGTGGGGAGGCTAAAGTTTCGCACACCTGCTGCCTCAGTCATTAATGGCTCAGGAACTCAGGTGCTGGTGGGAAGCTTTGGTGCATCCACCTATGGGGGTGCAGGGGACATTGAAACAAGGGAAGCATGAACAGATTATCTGCTGAAATTGCATTGTAGTTCTAAATGGTATAAAAACGTGTTTCATTTAATTTTTAGTCACTCTCCAGTTCCTCAAGAAATATTCAACAAATGTTGGCAGATTCTATCAATCGTATGAAGGCATATGGATTTCACCAGGTAAAGACTTAACATTCTGTCTTCAGGGGGCTAAATGCATAGCCATTGCCACTAATGTTTCACAAATTGGTATATTAGTCTCACACAGAAATGAAAGCGGCAGATGTGAAATCTGTCTTTAAAAGCTTGTGAACATAGCTCTTCATTTTTACCTGTTTATCCGGACTTGGGAAAGTCTTGAGTATCGTGGAAAGAATAGATGCCAAGACATATCTGCTAAACTCCTCACGGAAGATCTAACGCAGAGACAATATCCTGGGCTGCAGCAAACACTGAGGAAAGACTGATCTCAGGGAGCGATAAATGAAGCATTTAACTTGGCAGAAATCATGAATTCAGATTAGGTTCCTTATGTGTTCCTTGTTTCTGTGAGCTGGATCCTGTTCGATGAACCATCCATGCCCACTGTGCCAGGAGCTCCTTTGGGCACTCATATCGCTCACACGCCCATCCAAATGTGATTCTCCCTACAGACAGAGCCTCTTTCCTCCATTGTGCTAGACTGTATCCCATCATACATTCCTCACAAAAAATGGAGCATAGATGGGCCGTTGGAAACCATAGTAGATCTGACCTGCAGAAAGTTTGAAAAAGTAATGTAAGATGTGAAGCTGTAAAGAGAAGGTTCTGTGTGACCACAGGACTGAGGCATGGCCACGGTGGAGGCCCTCGTTCCAGTGGACAGTGCAATCTGCAGGGACATGTGTGAACTGGGATAGCTCTCATTTAGCCTTCAAGAAACTATGATGAATTTTTGCAGTGTAGTCCCGGTGTGCATCTTGTTGGTATAATATGTACCTTTCTAAAACAGTAGCAATAGAGCATCTAAAGGAAAATTTTGGTAACACTGCCTGGATTACATTGTTTCATTTTAAATGATAGAAAAACAAAGGATCTTTGTATTTATTTAACCAATGTCCATGGAGTTTCTCTGTGTGCTAGGCTCTGTTATAGGCATTGAAAGCACTATAAGCAAAACAGATAAAATCCCTGCCCTCAGGAAGCTTATATTCTGGATGAGGGAGACAGACAAACACATCTATGAAGTCATAAGTTCTGTGGAGAAAAATAATGCAGGATAAGGGAGCTGAGGAATGCTGGGAGGGTGGGGACAGACTTTTTATAGAGATGGTCATAGAAGGCTACTCTGAGAAGGCACTACTGGAAGAGAGAGCTGACATAATGAAGGAGGGAGCCATGTGGAGACCGGGGGACATTATGTCCCAGGCAGAGGCAACACCAAGTATGAAGGCACAAAGGCAAGAGCACACTTGAGATAGTCAACAACAGCAGAAAGGTCAGTGAATGAATGAGAAGGGAGATTAGGGTTGAGAAACATGTAGACCCTTGTAAGGAATCTGATCTCTTGGTGTTATGTCAAGCCCTGATGAAAGATGAGACCATCCAGAGGGTGAGTCTAGATGGAAAAGAGAGAGCTAAGCTTTCTTGGCTCCAAAATAAGGAGGATAGACTAGAAGGTTCTCAAACATTTTTAGATGTGAGACAGCCAGATTTTCGGTCTTCACACCCTCTCATGAGAATGCGCGAAACCATGGGCCAATGCATTCCTTCTCTAACTTAAGAAATTATATGCGAACTCAAGAGAATGAGTGAGCAGATAGATCACTTACCCAGCTTCTCTGGAGAACAAAGATAGTAAAACAGAGCTTTTCGACTTAGGAGGCAATGGAGAGGGTCTAATGAGGAAACTGGTGGTAAGTATTTCCATTAACAAGCTGGGATAATGGGCTTTCCCTGGGAGATATTTTGACATCAAACTGCCCATCCTCATGTATATAAACCTCAGTCTGTGGGTGTTTGGAAGTGTCCAGCCTCACTGCTGTTGCCCCTTCACCCCTCAGCCTCTACCTGACTTTCCCATGCTTGGCTCACCATCCCCATCCTGGACCTACATGCTTCTTGCAAAAACTTGTAAAAATGGGATAATGGTTTGGTTTCCTAAGTAGAGGACATAAAGATCAACCTGTAAAGATTTTGCTAAAAGTAAATTTTCTGAAGGAATTCTTAAAGAATCAGGACAAGTCCTTAAGTTTTCTAGCTGCTTTGGAATGAATAGAGTGGTCGGGGCTCATCTCATCCATTACTCTGTGAAACTCGTTAATTTGTCTCCTTTCCCTCTGTGCCCCAAACATAGTGATGCTACATGTTAAAGAGAAATATGATTTACTAGCTACAGCACTCCCCAACATTTGATTGTCATCAACCACATACCATCTGTATTATTAGTGAATATTTCTCCTTAAGTAGACTTACTTTGTAAGCTTTTGCTTTTCCTAAGCACCCATATACACTATCATGGTTTAATGTTATAGCTCTTTTCTAATCATTTTAAATCATTTTAAAATATGCATGTGGAAGATGAACAAAGCTCCACTTTCAAGGTTTTTTTTTTCCGTTTAAGTTTAGAAATTGCTAGCAGTACTTTTTATGTATTTCAGGTTTATACATGGCTTCAGTAAGGTGATAACAAATTTTAACAGTCATTTAAAACACCAAAAGCTGGTGGGTTTGTTTTTTTTTTTTTTTTTTTTAAGAATTTATTTATTTATTTGACAGAGAGATCACAAGTAGTCAGAGAGGCAGGCAGAGAGAGAGAGGAGGAAGCAGGCTCTCCGCAGAGCAGAGCCCGATGTGGGACTCGATCCCAGGACTCTGAGATCATGACCCAAGTCAAAGGCAGAGGCTTAACCCACTGAGCCACCCAGGCGTCCCAGCTGGTGGGTTTTTGTGGGGTTTTTTTTTTTGTTTGTTTTTTATAATAAGAGGAAACAAAGGGAGCTTAGCTCTAGGCAGGAAAAGAAAGTAAGGAAAAAAATGAAGATAATAAATACATGAAAGTTTAGTTACATTTGAAATGAAAGAGTGAATGAATGATCACCTCCTATATTAATTGTGATTTATGACTTCCCACAGTGATCAAAAATGGGTTTCACAACATCAAGGTTTATATTTTAGTTGGGGTGAGATAATTTAACAGAATGTCTTTATCTTTCTGTAGGAAAACACACACACACAAAAAAAATACCTGTCGATTCTGAGATGCAAAACGAAGCATGGTCAGTCTTTTCTGACCCTCTCAGCTTCCTTTGTTATTATAGGTGACCGCGGCTTTTATTTGGTTCACCAAGTACTAAATTCAGTTTTCTAGTAAGCCCTCAGAAGGCAATACCCAAATAAAGTACTTTTTTAGGTCTAAGTGATTTGGTGTGAGTTTTTCTTTAGTTAAAAACTAATTCCCTTCAGTGTACTTAATGCCACAAAGCTGTTCACTTCAAAATGGCTAACATGGTTTTTATGTTATGTGTATTCTTCCACAATATTTAAAAAGGTTAAAATGATAATTTTCATGTTCTGTATATTTACAACTTGAAAAACAAATTCCCTTTTTAAGGAAGACTTGTGTTTCTTATTTTATATTTTCTCTAAGAGGATGCTTTGTAAAAATTTAAAAAGCAAAACAAAAAAAAACAAAAAATATTCCTTTTTGGGTCACCTAAAATGTGTAAGTACCACGTTTTTAAATAATTCTTTTAAAGATTTTGTTTATTTGAGAGAGAGAGCAGGAGTATGAGCAGTGGGGAGGGGCAAAGGCAGAGGGAGAAACAGACTCCCTGATGAGCGTGGAGCCCGATGTGGGGGCTCGATCCTAGGACCTGGGATCATGACATGAGCCAAAGGTAGGCCCTTAACCAACTGAGCCACCCAGGTGCCCCCAGTACCACATTTTTAGACACTGGTTTGAGGGCACATGGAGGTATGGCTGAGATTGCTCTAGAAATGTGCTGTTATTTTTACGGAGCCTGTCGGATACTGCAGTGTTTACACTGGTGCCTTGAAGCCGTGTTTAGAAACTATTTGAGGGATTTCAATTTAAAACAGTTAAGTGATGTTTGAGGAAAATGGATATTTATTGAGTTTTACTATGTGTTACAGACTATGGGAGACACTTTTTAAATATGGGTTAACCCTGACTCTAACCCGATGAAATATTTGTAGTTTTCTAATTCTACTTAAGCAAAGACAGCCTAAGAGAGGTTTGGTAATGGGCCACGTGGTTGCACAGCTAAGCCATGATAGAGTTAGCTTCAGGTCTCACCCACTCCAAGCTTTTCCCATAACAACAAATTCCCTAGCCAGGGGGCCAGAGGGAGTTACATAGAAACCGGCTCTTCGGTGCCCCTGACTCCTCCCCTCCCCACTCCTCTTCTTCCTCTTGGCAGAAAACTGCCAGAGTTACTCACTAGTGTTTGTTTCTGGTTTTGTGTGTGGGTATTTCTTTTTTAACAGAAGAAGGAGCCTGTGAAGAAAACACAAGATGAAGAACTAAAACAAATAGATGAGGAGAAAGCCAAGCAGATTTATAAAAGCTGGAAAGAAGATTCAGAGTGGCAGGCATCTCGTGAGTACCCAGAGGCCTCCGTAACACCTTAGACTCTCCAGGCCAGTTCCTACTCTTAGTCAATCAAAGAAGCGCTTAAAATGGTTGTTGAGAGGCTTAGGAGTCACTTCTTGAATAGCAGAAGAGTAGAAAGTTTCTCCACTCATCTTTGTACCATCACAGTTGTGATATAGCTGTTTGATGGAATGGTATATAGCTCTGAAAAAACACGTTTTGGAAGAGGGTTTAATGACATTGAGATGTGTTTATATCTTTTTTCCACTGAAAGAAGAAAAATTATAAAATAGTATGAAAAATATTCATTTTTTAAAATGCCTTAGTATATGAAGTAAAAAAACTGGAAGGTTATTAACATGTTAACATTTTTTTTGTTTTATTTGGAGGGTTGGGATTTGAGCTTTATTTGAATTCTTCTTCTTGTTATTCTGTACTTTTCTAAATTTTCAACAGTGAACTCACCTTAACTTTTTGATAGAAGAACCCAGGAATAACCGATTGGATATATCAGCACCTCCCATACCTATGACCTGACCCTGACTCCTTCTTGAGTTAGCAGCGCCAGAGATAAACCCTCTCAGGAAGAGGTCAGTGCAGGCTAAGCCAGAGCCAAGCGTGCTCAGCAATACTAGGGGAAAATGCAGGTTTGAGACAGGATGAGGGTTTCCAGCTGACTCAGAAAGAGGTTTACAAGCCAGGTTATCCCTTGAGGCCACTTGAGGGAGAAGCAGGAGAATGGGTGACAGTGTTTGCAGGGTGCGGAGAATCTGGTCTTCAGTTCCATTACAACGAACACTATTAACATGACAGTTTTGTGAAGCGAAAATATTTGCAAGACCCAGTCACTTCCATGCAGTGACGGTGACGTTCTAGTGTAATGGAACATTTTTGGCTTCTCTTTGAAGTCAGATATAATGGGACATTTTTGGCTTCTCTTTGAAGTCAGATATAATGGGGCTTGACTGAGAACACCTGAAGTGCAAACACACTCAAGGAAAATTAGTCTTAGCATCCTGCATTAAAGCCCTTTACTGCTATGTTGCTAAAACAAAAACAAAACAAAACAAAACAATTTCTTTAAATTAAAATCTTTTTATGACATTAAGTGATGATGGCATAATAAGACTTACCATATAAATGACACTGTTTGAGAATTTCACATTTATTTACTATTTAATTAATAAATTTTTAAAAAAGAAAAAAAAAACACTCTATTTTACAAAGCAACATTAAAAGGTGGCCTTGGGGTACTTTTTATGTGTACCAGCACATTCTCTGATTGTGGAGAGAATCATTTTGTGTTTTTGGTCTAGCAGGCCCATTCACAACTTGGTTCAGCTCTCCGGGGCCTCTGAGTGTGACCTGCGGCCAGCCTCGCCGACCTCTCACCCCGTCCCCAGCCGCTGCACTGAGGAGCTCCTGAGAGCCTGATCTTTGCTAGTGATGTCCTGAGCTGAGCACGGGAGGGATGATACCACCTCTTCTTATTCAGAGGCTCCCAGCCAGATGGAATTCGAACTCCGGCTGCGACTCATCACTTAGTCTTGCCAAATGCAGGAAATTCTCAAACACGTGGTTCTCCATTTCTGTCTCCTTCTTTCCTCTTTCTCCTCCTCCTCCCTCTTAGGATGTCCTAAAACCCACTTAGGCAGGAACTCTGCGGGGAGCGCTGGGCAGCTGTGAATGTGCAGGCTCTGGGAGTCCTAGGCGCGGATACCGATTGTTCGTTATTATCAGAAGGTGACAGAGTCTCCTGAGAGATGGTGCTCATCACCAGCTGACTCCTCTCACCATCTCTGTGGGCTGACCAGGGCCTTTCTCAAACCCCCTTGTTTTTCTAGTGCGAAAATCCAAAGCCGCTGATGAGAAGAGACGCTCTTTGGCTAAACAAGCGCGGGAAGACTATAAGAGGTTATCACTTGCGGCCGAAAAAGGAAGCGGTGAGGGACCACAAAGCCCCCCAGGAGTTCTACAGAAACCAAAAAGACCCCCCCTTCCACCCAAGCCTCACTTCCTAAACCCGGCGGGATACCCTCCAAAGCCTCTTGGGTAAGAAGCCACACAGATGGCTTTAAGCATAACGGTTGAAACTGCTGATTAAAGACAAATTGCGTGAGGGCGGTTGGGAGGGGAAGAGCGGCTGGCTGCCTGTGTAATTCAGTTCTGCCTCACCTCTAAGCCTGTCTTCCCGAGACACCTGGTCTGGATTCATCCTCTTCTTAACTATAAAGTATCCACAGTTTGTTATAATAAGATTCCCAGTAACTTAGAGAGGGTGTGCATCGAGTTCAGTGCCTTCCTGCGCCACTAGCGCACCCCACCCCGACCCCACCTCGTGGCGGTAAGCGGGCCGGCGAAGGGAGGAGCAGAGACCGGGGGTCTCATCAGCGCTCAGTATCGCTGTTAGTCGGAAATGATATCAAAGGAGGAACCTAAGGGCTAGCTGACTTTGACAGCATCAGCGAGTTGAGTTTTCATTGCTCCGGATTGAAGATTTGACAGTAATCCTCATTCTGGGACACAGAGCCAAGTTCATATGTTGAGTCTGGAACTTTTCCTTCTTTGAATGAACACTTTTTTGGTCATGATGGTGCCTTTGCCTTGTCAGCTATAGGAACTTAGGTAGAATAGTTTGTTTTGTAAACTCCCTGAAGAGAAATACGATGGTATTGTAGCAGAAACCCCCTTTCCCTTATGTTAGTTAACTGTTCATAAAATTATTTTCTCCTGGATATTGGGATTTTTTCATATTCTAATATGTAGAAAGACATTATTTAAAATATACCAGAAGAATCAAATAGTCATTAAACGAAACAGAAGCCTTGCCTTCTGAAATGAAAACCAATACTTCTCTGTTACAAGTACAGAGAAATAGAAAGCAAACCAATCTTTCTTTGCTTGGCGTCAGTACTGATCTTCAAGGCCTTTCCTAATGGGGATTATGACCTCAGAGGAAACAGAAGGTGGACCTTTTCCTTTACTATAATTATTTCTACTTACTCAACTGAAAGGTTCCATTTTGGGATGTGGGGGCCAGAACTAAAAGATCATGCTCTATAAAGTGACAGTTTGGGGAATGATTTTTTTTCTTACGGACAAAAACCTAAGAAAAGTAATCAGAAACAGGTATCCTCGCAGTTTTGTGAACACGTCACAAAGGTGTGAGCTCCTGCCCAGGGTCCTCTTCAGTGCCTGAGCTGGTCTGTGCATTGGCCCCAGATCCCCAGCAGGGCTATTTGTGTACCTGCCCCTGTTCTCCAGGCTCTTCCAAGGGGGTGACTGTGACGTGTAACATGCCCTGTCCCACACTATTTTTAGTGCACAGTGTATGTGATTGACATGGAAGTGGCCTTGATAAGGGCAATTCTTGTTTCGAGCTGTGCTCAGTTGAGCTAAGTTTTTCCAACTTAACACACTTGCATGAAATGCTTCTTGTGAGGCAACCAGACTGGATGGTTTTTGGGCTGGGACAACAATGTATGACTAAGGTCAGCTAGGAGCCAGCCCAAGAAAAGACAGAGATTGGCTGTCCTTAGAGTTTTTGCTTAACCTCCAAAGACTTTCCAAAGAAAAAGAACCTAATTTGAAAGCTAGTAAGAGCACTCGTCATATAATCTCATGTGTATGTAGGATCTGATTCCCAAGAAAGTCAAATATTATAGTCAATCTTCTCCAAAATTCTATGTATACATGCACATGAATATGTACATACTTACGTGTACATCTGGCATACATGTCACATGTAACTCGTGGGGACATGTTACCATAGAACACAGGGTCATAAGTTAATTTACATGACAGGCATCCTGGCAGTTCATCCAAACTCATCCTTGTCTTTACACTGAGTTCTGCTCAAAATTAGTGGGTTATTGTGTGAGACTTGGAAATATGTTTATTACATTGCAGTGTTACTTTTTGTAGTGGAAATCAACTTACATCCCAAAACTTTAGTTCTGTGACTGAATGTATTTTAAAATTATTCTACTGCTTGTATCTTTTTCTTATCAATCTTCAAACACTCTTCTTTCTTTGACTTCATATTTCTGAGACTGTCTTTAGCAGAACCAAACCTCTTCAAAGTATGGGAGAGAAGAAAGCAAGTCAGGGATGTTGGAAACAAAAAGAAGAGAAAATTTAATACTGAAAATGTTAGGAAAGAGATTTTTTATTTTTATTGCATTTGTTTTGTTTGCAAAAACATGCAAGTAAAATAGTGTTGGGGGTGTATTTCACTTTTTAATGCTTATTTTCTCAAATTTTAATTGGAAGTTAATGGAGCTTTTGTTCATATTAAAAATGAATTAAAATCTTTGTATTAACACAGGAGTAGCTCATATCCATGACTAGCCCTATAGGACTGGAAGGACAAGTGACAGATTTATGTTCCTTCCTATTTTTTTGACTAACCCTTGAGGAGTTAGGTATATAATGGCAGTAATTAGGGGTCCAACTTCCCATTAGCTCAGCCCATGTAATTAGATCTCCAAATATATATAATTCTCTCTGCCTTTATACATGATTTATATATACAGGATATATATGATTTTCGAAGGCATTGTTTTCAAGTTAGTTAAATCTAACTTGAAGAACTATTCTCTAAATCTCAGAAACCAGGGAGTGACGAGGACAGCGTCCAACTCTGCCCAGGAGGACATCATTCGGTGGTTTAAAGAGGAGCAGCTACCACTGCGAGCAGGCTACCAGACAACCTCAGACACCATAGCTCCCTGGTTCCATGGTGAGTACACAGCTGCCCTCGACAGCCTCATCGGACGACAGATGAGGCTGTGTTCATCTGTTAATCCACCAGGAGGGCAGAAAGAATAAAGGCTTCCTTTTATTTGTGCTGTCCAAGAAGAGTCTTTGAAATTATTTTCACACAGCAGTTTTTCAAAGGTTTCTCGGTGAGTTGCAAGCTCATGACAGATTTAGAAAACAGTCAGCAGTTGGGGTCTCTGCAGGTGCTGTGCGTGTTCATTTGTCACCACAAATAAAACACCGCTGGGTGGGTGGGGAAAGCGATGGCTCCTGCTCGCCTACCACAGGGCATTTGACTGTGATTTCCTTCAAATGGCAATGCCTTTCATCCACCGTGCACAGTGGGGAGAGTCCAGTATGCCCTTGGGTGTGGTGGGCAGGGCACTGGTGTAGCAGCCAGATGGTCAGCTCTCCATTAACAGCTGAGTGACTGAGCAAACCATCTTTCTCTGTAACAAGTCAAGTTATCTGAGCCTCATTTTCCTCACCTATTTAATGAAGGAGTTGAACTTTATGATCTTTAACCTGAAAATTCTGTTACTTTGATCTGTGTTTCCATTAAGTAGTTGAAGCTGCCAGGTGGGTTTGTTAGACCAAAGCAGATATTACCTAATAAACCATTTCTTGACCCTAGAAACTTGATTAATTCAAGCCTCTGTCTAGCCAGCCCATATTTCACTCTCCTCTCCGTTTCTTGGACTTCAGGAAAAGAAGTGGTTTCTTGCCTCAGTTGGCTTCTTTAGGGTCAGTGGTGGACCTGGATTAATTGGCTCTATGTACAACAGAAGTGCTTAAAAAAATAAGGTTCTCTCACAGAGCACGCTTATCCTAAAGGACAAAACCTCGGTTTGAAACATGTTGAAGTCTTTTTTATTTTTAAAATTTTTTTAAAGATTTCATTTAAGAGAGAGAGAGAGAGCGCGTGCACGAGCACGAGCAGGGGGGAGGGGCAGAGGGAGGAGCAGACTCCCTGCTGAGCAGAGAGCCCAGTGCAAGGCTCAGTGCAAGGCTCAAGGCCAGTCTGAATCCCAGGGCCCTGGGATCATGACCAGAGCTGAAGGCAGATGCTTAACCAACTGAGCCACCCAGGTGCCCCGAAGGCTTCTCTCTTTTAATTAGTAACATGTCATACACAAATATATCCACAAAAATAGGGTCCCAAACAAATAACATGGTGAACTTCTAAAAAGAAAAAAATTAGGGGTGCCTGGGTGGCTCAGTGGGTTAAAGCCTCTGCCTTTGGCTCAGGTCATGATCCCAGGGTCCTGGGATTGAGCCCCACATCGGGCTCTCTGCTCAGCAGGAAGTCTGCTTCTCCCTCTCTCTCTGCCTGCCTCTCTGCCTACTTGTGATCGCTATCAAATAAATAAAATCTTTTAAAAATTTTTTAAAAATAAAAAATATTAATTAATTAATTAATTATTTTTTGTAGGCCTTCTGCTAAAGGGCTGCTTTCACAGTCAGACCATTATGGAACCATCTAGCTTTCCTTAGAAAATACATATTCTTTGGTGATTCAGGCTTTAGTAATTGTCTATTCCCTGAGGAGCTCCTCTCCCTCTTAGGACTGGGTCATAAGCCTACTTCCTTTCCATTCTGTTCAGAAGATATTGGAAGAAATAGTGACATCAGTATCAAAAGATGAATGTTTCATGTTGCCTTTTTTTTCTTTTTAAGATAAGCACTGACGAAATCAGTACTTTATAGTTTCTGTGTCATTGGGCAGATGGTGTCATTCCTGATTACAAGGGTGGTAGTTCATTTTAATAACAGGAAATAAGAAATTGAAAGTACTGCTCAGTGGGAAGCCTGCTTCCTCCCCTCTCTCTCTCTGCATGCCTCTCTGCCTACTTGTGATCTGTCTGTCAAATAAATAAAAATCTTAAAAAAAAAAAAAAGAAAAAAAAATTGAAAGTATTGGTTAATGTTTAAAAATCGTGGTACTTTAACAGGCAATTCCACTTGAAACAGTTGCTAAAAGCTAGGAAGATAAAGTGGGACTAAAAATCCAGTTGGAGCTTTGGTTAAAAGAAAAAGTTTTTGAGTTTTGTATAAATAACTTATTAGTTGGTATTGTTATGCATTTAATTTCACTTATATAGATATTTATCATAGTCATAAGCAAAATAAATAATATAAAATATAATGAAATATATACACAGTCATGTCCTCAATGTAAGCTATTTTCTTCTGTTTTAAGAAGAAAAAATTTCATATTTCTATGATAAAGAGAAGGTGGATCATATCTTATACTTTTAAAATATAATTGTTTATTGATCATGAGCCCTGTGTGAAATAATGGGATGGTAGCTCTCCTCTACTGGTTTACCATCTTCCTTTTGTTATCATACGCTCTATGCCTTTCTTATATTACTGTTTTGGTCAGCTAATTTTTCCCCATAGAAGTTCACACTTCCACCCTTTCCTTTTTGTTAGCTTTAGACAGGATGGAAGTGGGTAGGAGAGGGCAGGGAAATGAAGACCAGTGGATCTCTGGCTTGTGGAGCTGCGTGGAAACTCATGCTCTCAGTTGGGAGAAGGAATACAGGAGGATCTGGAGATTACCAGGATTAAAAAAGAGGGGTGAAAATGAATTTATTTGGGATATGATGAGCTTGAAATGTCTTTGGGGCAGTCATGTGAAAATATCCATTTGGTAATTGGATTAACAGATCAGTGCTAACGATAATGGATCGGAGTCCTCAGCACACAATGAAAAGCAGGGGAGGGGAGATGACATTTTCCAGGAGTGAATTGAGAAGAAAGGTAAGAGAAGGCCAAGGACAAGACCCCAGGAAGCATTAATACTCAGTGCGATGGCAAAGAGGAGCAGAGGCCCCACATCTTTGTCTCAGGTTTCCTTTCCCACTCAGCGTCATGATGAGGCAGATAACTGGCCATGGGCAGTAAAGTAGGGTATTGCCTCTGATCTCCTAGATGTAAGAACTTGGAAAATCCCAAGTGCAAGAGAGATCCGGAAATGCAGTACTGAACTCTACTTTGTGAGCATCTTTTGATGATCTCAAGCACATGTAGATATGTAGTCTCCCCACTTCTGCTCCTGCTCTTCTAGCTTTTCCCACAGAGGCCATGGGGTCTCAACTTTCACGCTTGATCTGAATATCACTCCAGCTCCATCTCAAACCATGTTCCTCACAGAACCCTGCCTTGATCATGACTTTCCACCACATGTTTCCCGTCCGTCCCTGACACACCAAACTCACCCCTTTCTTAGGGCCTTTGCAGTTGTTCTTCCTGAAGATCCCTCTAAGGACAACGTCTTAAGGAGCTGGCTCACCTGATTGGAGGCTTGATGGGCCCCCCAAATCCGCTGGGTAGACTAACAGGCTGGAGACTCAGGGAAGACTGGCAGCTTAAGTCCAAAGTCCACTGGCAGAATCCCTTCTTGCTCAGGGAAGGTCTTTGCTCTTTTGATGCCTTCAACTGATTGGATGCAGCCCACCCATATTACGGAGTATTTTTCTCCCTTCCCTCATTCAAAAATTACTTTTTTTTTATTAGTAAATATTTCGAACAAACAAAACTATAAGTAACACCAATGATGTAATAAATGTTGTATCTACTTTCTAGGCTACAATGAATGTTAGAAGCCATATTTACCTCATATCTGTTTCTCTTATTAAGAAATAAAGCCTGAGAGAATTAAGGCCCTCTCTTTTACTCCCTTACTGACTCTATTTATTTACTTCTCTCCCATAGGCAAATCACTCTTTGAAGTTATCCTTTTCATCCGTATTTTTATACTTTCATTATATATGTATATGTGCATGCATTTTTATAAACTATATTAAGATATATATAGATAGATATTATATATACAAAACATATATTTACATATATAAACATATTTATACACATATATATGCTTCTACAAAACATGCAATATTGTGTTTACACAATGTCTTTACATGGTATCATGTTATAGGTATTTTTCTGCAGCTTGAGTTTTCTCCCATTATATCATCTAGATTTTTCTTTGGCTCGTTTGTTTTACCTGTGATGCAGTATGTTATAAGATACAGATTATATTCTGTTGGAGCTGTAATTTTTTGAGAGTCTAATATGTTCCAAGCATTACACTGAGCACTTTAAAGAAAGTAAATTTTATTCCCACTTTATAGAGTAAGAACCTAGGAACTAAGACGTTCTTTTCAGGCTTCTACCATCAGTGGCAATTTTCAGAGCCAGATCTACTTAACTTCTAAGTCACAGCATATCTGAGCACTAATAAAAGTGGGAACACCCATGCTTTTTATATAAGTTGGAAATTTAAATCAGTCAACAGTAATACCACAGAGATTTGTTTCTCCAATACATGAATGAGTTCACTAAATCTCACAGTCAGTGGTGAAGTAAAAGTGTCAAGGAAACTTCATTCAGCATAAGTTTTGCCCCATCCCCATACAATGTCCCAAGGCTGCAAGAGTTTAGAGTAATAGAAATGGAATCTATATATTTTGTGGTAATGGTTACCTAACATTTGACAAATATACATTTGTCAAAATCAATCATTTGCATACTTAAAATTGGTGAATTTTATTGTATATAAATTATATCTCAAGCTGAGTTTTAAAAAATGTGAAGTCCAAGAAGCACAGAGTTTTCTTAGCTCTTAGCATGGAAAGATAGTGCAGTTGGCCCTTGAACAATGCAGGGGTTGGGGTGCCAGCCCCTTGTACAGTTGAAAATCCACAGATAAATCTGGACTTCCCAGAAACTTAGCTATGAACTGACTACTGTTGACCAAAGACTTACTGATCATATGAACAGTTGATTAACGCATATCTTGTATGTTATATCTATTATGTACTGTAATCTTTTAATAGAGAAAAGAAAGCATTATTAAGAAAGTCATAAGAGAGAAAATACATTTATAGTACCACATTTATCGAAAAAAATCCATATATAAGTGGATGTATGCAGTTCAAACCTGTAGTTGTTTGAGGGTCAACTGTATAG